TCCTCCCTTTCCTTCTCCCTATCCTCCTCTTCCTTCCCCCTATCCTCCTCCCTCTTCCTTTTCCTTATCCTCCTCTTCCTTCTCCCTATCCTCCTCGTCTTTCTCCCTATCCTCCTCCTCCTGCTTCTCTTCCTTCTACTCTTCCTACTCTCCCTTCTCCTCCTCATCCTCTTCGCTTAGGCAGGTGGAGGCAAGAAGGCAAGTGGGTGGGCAGGTGGGCGGACAGGTGGGTGGGCAGGTGGGCGGACAGGTGGGCGGGCTGATAGGCGGACAGGTGGGCGGGCTGATGGGTGGACAGGTGGACAGGTGGGCGGGCTGATGGGCGGACAGGTGGGCGGGCTGATAATGTTTATTATTAGTTAGTTATATTAATTAGATGAACTTGTTTCTCGTTGTAGCTGATCGACCCAGCAGACGTGTCCAACCCCAAGGTTGATGAGCTGTCAATGATGACATACCTGTCACAGTTCCCTCATGCCAAGCTGAAGCCAGGTAAGGCAATCATTCATGATGACATTTACCTTACCTGTCACAGTTCCCTCATGCCAAGCTGAAGCCAGGTAAGGCAATCATTCATGATGACATTTACCTTACCTGTCACAGTTCCCTCATGCCAAGCTGAAGCCAGGTAACGTTACGAGTCTCTCACACGGAGTGTATAGAGGTCTGGTCTACGAGAAAAACGGGGACGTGTTAGGACCAGTGTTAGGACTAATGTTGTTTCTCACTAACCGCACCCCACTATAAGGTGGGGATTGTTTTCTTCGCTGCTATCAGGGATAGAATCTGGTGCAGTAGTCATGGCTGCTGAGGGCGTAGCACGGCAGTGGCCATCATCGCAAGCACCCATGCAGAACTATTCACCACGTGCGAACAACCTGCATGTGATGAGGGTGGGGGGGGGGGGGTGCCGTCTGTGATGGTGGCGGGAGGGGCTATAGAGGAGGGAGTGANGAGAGAGAGAGAGAGAGAGAACTGACTGCACCACTGTATTCTCAGCTACCTCTCTAATTACGATGATCGTGAGATGTTTCTCACGTGAGATCATTGCTGATGAGATGTTAGAGAGAATGACAGCTCACAGTCACAGTGTGTGTCCGCGCCAAACATGGTCGATCGCACGGGGAGAGGGCGTATTCCAGAATCTACGGAAACGAAAAAAACGTGGCTCGAATAAAGTACTGGCCTCTCTCTCTCTCTCTCTCTATCGTTCTCACTCTCTTCTTCTCTCNTCTCTCTCTCTCTCTCTCTCTCTCTCTCTCTCCTCTCTCTCTTCCTCTCTCTCTCTCTCTCTCTCTCTCTCTCCTCTCTCTCTCTCCTCTCTCTCCCCTCTCTCTTCTCTCGCTCTCTCTCTCTCTCTCTCGCTCCCTCTCTCCCTCCCTCCCTCCTTCTCTCTCCCTCCCTCTCTTCCTCCCTCTCCTTCCCAGCGATGTGATTTCTGGGTATTGTTGGTGTGTTCCTCGTGTCTACGTGCGCACGCGTAGCACTGCAGTGAAGCCATTCAGCCATCAATCCCTGGCCTGCATGCTTGCCGCAGCTATTTCGGGCGATCGCTGCATACCAGCGACTTAGCGGCGCGAGGTCCGGGATATTCAGTGATTCATCGCTGAGTCACTGCCCTCATGAAGTATCGGGAGTGAGAGCCATGCAACTTGTTTGTCTAGTTGATCAGTTTACAGCTCCCTCCTTCTCCCTTTCCTTCCCCCTATCCTCCCTTTCCTTCTCCCTATCCTCCTCTTCCTTCTCCCTATCCTCCTCTTCCTTCTCCCTATCCTCCTCTTCCTTCTCCCTATCCTCCTCTTCCTTCT